AAAAAGGAGAAAAAGCAGAGAAAAAAAGAAGAAAAAGCAGAGGGAAAAAAAAGAGAAAAAGCAGAGAAAAAAAGGAGAAAAAGCAGAGAAAAAAAAAGAGAAAAAGCAGAGGAAAAAAAAGGAGAAAAAGCAGAGGAAAAAAAGGAGAAAAAGAAGAGAAAAAAAGAAGAAAAAGAAGAGGAAAAAAAAAAAGAGAAAAAGCAGAGAAAAAAAGAAGAAAAAGCAGAGAAAAAAAAAGAGAAAAAGCAGAGAAAAAAAGGAGAAAAAGCAGAGCTGTTGCTGCCCAGGCTGTGCCACACTCCTGTCCGTCTGTCTGACACCTGTCTGTCCCCTCCTGTCTGTCTGTCTGTCACTGCCCAGGCTGTGCCACCCTCCTGTCTGTCCGTCTGTCTGTCTGTCCCCTCCTGTCCCAGCCAGGGGACAGAGCTGCGCAGCCCTGCCTGCCACAGCCCCCACACGCAGCAAGTTCACTCACAATAAATGACATTTCATGGAAAGCCATTGCAGACAATGAGAAATAAACAAACAAGATAGCCTTACTGTTTTTAGGTGTTTTACTATTTCCATTTGATGCTTCCTCTCAACTGCCATGGTGAAGCACATGTTAGCAAACAGCACAGGAAAGCAGCTGGACATTTTCTGAGGTTAAAAACTAATGAATTCCTGCAGACAAACTAACAATGTGAGTGTTTCCACTCCCACCCTGAAGGTAAAGGAAAGCTACACAGGAACACTTGCATTTTAAATAAAATCACTCCCCAATTGGATTTGCTCCGTTGTAAAAATAGGAACTTTTCCGTGCGAATGATACTGTTCTAACAAAGGAAAACAAATGCAGCTTTACCCCTCTAATCAGCAGGCTGCATTTAGCACCAGAAACACCACACAAAAATAGCACTTCTTAAAAAGCACTGCTAAAATGGGACTGAGGAACTGAGCAGCGCCTTGGCCTTGGGAAGCACCAGGGTCCTGCAGGAGATCCTGGGGGGAAACACAGCAATTCCTCGCTGCTGCATTTTTATTGCAAAAAAAACCCTGCAGTGACCTGTCTGGCACACCAGCCCGTTCCATTGTGAAAAATATGAAAACACAGCAATTCCTCCCTGCTGCATTTCTATTGCAAAAAAACCCTGCAGGTGACCTGCCTTGCACACCAGCCCGTTCCATTGTGAAAAATGGGTATTTTATGGTTGGCTTTTCACAAATATTCAAATGAATATTATATGTGTTGTGTTAGAAAGTGATGCTGTATTAATGATCTTAAGTAATGTGTTAAATATAGTTTTAACAAAATGTTAAAATAGAAACTATGCTATGTGAGATACTTTTTCTAAACGAAGGACTCACAGTGAGATAGCAGCCACAGGACACCTGAATCTTTCAGAGAAAGAGAATTTATTGCTCTCTTATCAGAAGTAATGAACTTCATCCCACCTGGCTCAGCCCCGGAGACCCCGTCAGGATTCAGAGGAAGAAGCTGACACTGCCCAGACACAATCCTGTGTTTGGATGGAATTTATGCATCATAAATGAGGTGCATGAATATGCAACAGGCTGTTGCTTTTAAGGGTTAATCCTTGGTTAACATGGCTCCTTTTCGGCCTTATTTGGCCCAGAAAGAGGCTGGGTCTGTTCTGCCGATGCCTGCAATGCAATCAGCCAGACTGGCTCCCACAAACGCCCTCCAAAGCTTTTCCTTTCGCCACGCACAAAGAGCAGCAAACAGCATCGGCCGTTGCCATGGCAACACCGCGCCCCAGCAGGTGAAAAATCACCCGTGGCATGGGAAAGGATGGAATGCACCGAACCTGAGCATAAAATCCACCCTGGCACCGGGAAAGGATGGAATGCACCGAACCTGAGCATCAAATGCACCCGTGGCACCAGGAAAGGATGGAATGTACTGAACCTGAGCATAAAATCCACCCGTGGCACCAGGAAAGGATGGAATGCACCGAACCTGAGCATCAAATCCACCCTGGCACTGGGAAAGGATGGAATGCACCGAACCTGAGCATCAAATCCACCCTGGCACTGGGAAAGGATGGAATGCACCGAACCCGAGCATCAAATCCACCCTGGCACTGGGAAAGGATGGAATGCACCGAACCTGAGCATAAAATCCACCGTGGCACTGGGAAAGGATGGAATGTACTGAACCTGAGCATCAAATCCACCCGTGGCACCGAGAAAGGATGGAATGTACTGAACCTGAGCATCAAATCCACCCGTGGCACTGGGAAAGGATGGAATGCACCGAACCTGAGCATCAAATCCACCCGTGGCACCGGGAAAGGATGGAATGCACCGAACCTGAGCATAACACCAACCTCGGCTCAGCAAGCTCCGTGTTCTCCCCAGGACTGGCACATCCTCCAGCGAGAAATGCAGAGATGCAAATGGTAAAACCCTCCTGTGAACTCTGGTACATCAGTAATTCCTCAGCTGTCTCAGAGTCATTGTATCAGGCAGAAACTTATATCAGTATATTGCATAAGTTTGGAAATCTCTATGAAAAGTTAAGCCCAATTTTTAGAAGTTATGAGTGACTTGAAAACAGAAGATAATTTTTCATTTCAAGACAGACACGAGAAAAATGTGCTGAATAATTTTAAGGATTAGGTGCCAGAAGCATCATTCAAAAACAGCTCTTCATGCTCCAGAAACTCTGTTTTCAGAACAGATAACATTACAGCCTTCAAGTCAGACTGCTCAACCCATTTTTCACCTTGTGCTGAGCCAAGGGGGTACACAGAAACACTGAAGAAATTTATGAGAAAAGCAAAGTATTCTGGACTCTGCAAAACACCAAGCACAAAGAATCCCTTATATTCTCTATTCCAAATTGCTGCTCATCACAACTGAACAAGAACCACTGTACTTGACTGAAATAAAGCTCAGGTGTCACCCCTGCACAGCAACCCCCAGAGCCATCCCAGACAACCCAGCACCACCTCTGGCTCTCCCAACCACCAGGTAACCCCAAACCCACGGTGGAAAATCTGTCCATGAAGAAAGAATGGATCCCTCACAAGGTAATTGTAATTCTCTGTGCAAAGCAAAACCTTGGGGAAGGTTTTAAACTACACAAAAAACTTCCAGCACCTCAGACACTCGAGTCCAGATACTGCCAACTGTAGTTCTACCTATTATGAATTTCATTAACATATATTTTCTATTCCTATTGAACTAATTTTCCATTGTTGCTTATGTTTTCTCATGATATATTTACTTATTCCAAGGAATGCTGAGAGA